TACAGAAGTTGCACTAGCCGAGCCAGTCTCCTGACAAGAGCCCCATAGAAAACCTCTGGGCCATACTCGACGGCAAGTCAAGAAACAACCAAAAAAACCAACTTCGAAGAGCGATCTACTCCAAGTTTTGAAGCAAGAGTGGGCGAAAATCCCACAATCCATAACGAGTCAGCAGATGTACATAATAACTACACAACGAGTCAGCAGATGTACATAATAATTACACAAAAAGTCAGCTGGTGGAGACAATATTTACTCAACATGTCAGCAGGTGCACATAATAACTACAGACCGAGTACAGAATAATTACATAAAATAACTTGACTGCAGTTACCTCACGTAAAAGATGAATTTTATAATAATGATATAAAGGCATGGCTTTTTTTATGTCTGTACACAGCGCGGTCACAAGTAAATAGACACCACTTTTTCAGAAAAAAGTGAAATTTTTCAGTCATATTCACCATGAATTGATATATTTATAATTTAATTAATATCTAGTAGATCTTCCTTTCGCTTCATGGAGTTCGTTGATCCATTTGGGCATCGTGAGAATCATCTCGTCAATTTGATAGTTATTATGTACATCTGCTGACTCGTTATGTAATTATTGTGTGCTCCTACTAATTCTTTGTGTAATTATTATGTATGTCTACTGGCTCGTTATGTAATCATTTGATGCTTCTTCAATCAACCCGTCAGTTGACTCGCCAATCTCAGGGGCTTCCCGACCATGTTTATCAAGCCAAGAACGGCTTCTGATTGTTCGTCTGTATCCACTTTAATGCTTACAATGATATCATGTTGGCGAGAGCGATTGATTGTAGCCGGAGGAACTATTGTGTGAAGTTCGTTATGGCGCGTTAACAGTGGCACGCACGTGATAGTTGGCGGGTTTCTTTCTCCAACGTGTTTCGACAGGTCTCATATGAGTACAAATAATCTTGAGATGCATATAACATATTTCTCTGTTTTACTGGTGTTATATTTTAGAAATTAAACTTTCAAAACAACCAAATATTTGTTCTCATGTCTTATATCTCTGATACAATAGACAGGTTGTTTATAAGTTACATAAAAATGCTACTTCCTATTTTCATTCAGATCTAATAAAAGAAATAACAAATAGACATATGGTTCAAAAACATTCACTTCAATATACGAAGTACACGAGAGAAATGTGCGGCTAAAAGTGCGAGCCCGTTCAGCACTGGGCTTTGATCCTACAGCCCACAAATAACTAGCCAGGCCGAATTAATGGTAGTATTTACAAATAATCTGCATCACAACTTCAAACATTTTCGGAAACGTAAATCAACAACAAGAAAGACTATGAGAAAAACGAAAAGGTGTCAATGCTGCTTTGTACAATAGAAATTTAATTTATTTTTCGTAAAAGTTGAAACCCATTTTTAGACCCTTGCAAATGCGTGTTGGGCATTTTTAAAATTATTTATATATTTTTCTTCACACCCCTAAACTGGAAACGAACGAATATACGATGCCATTTATAACATATAAAATGCTAGCAAACCGTATGACCTCCAACCAGACAATTGGTTTGGAAGTTAGAGACAGTTATAAGAATTTCGTGTTATTTTAAGTCTGACATTACGAGCCAACAGGTTTACAAAATAACCGCAAAAGGAGTTAGCATGTTCGCAAAATAATTAAACAACATTTGCAGGTGTATACAGCAATTACACAACAAGTTAGCAGATGTATGTACACAATAATTGCTCAACCAGTCATCAGGTGTATGTATACAATAACTGCACAACGATTCAGCAGGTAGAGGCAATATTTGCTCAATATGTCAACAGGTGCACATAATAAGTACACAACGAGTCAGCAGAAGCATCAAATGATTACATAACGAGTCAGCAGACATACATAATAATTACACAAAGAGCTAGTAGGAGCACACAATAATTGCTCAACCAGTCATCAGGTGTATGTATACAATAACTGCACAACGATTCAGCAGGTAGAGGCAATATTTGCTCAATATGTCAACAGGTGCACATAATAAGTACACAACGAGTCAGCAATATACACTTTTTATTAATACAATGCGAAGGTTTGGAACTACCAAGAAAAGGTTTAACAACTCTGCTTTTTGGCAACGTTAAACAGAAAACAACAGTTTCCGTCTTTGTCAAAAATCTTTTCCATAGTACCGGTGAATAAAGTGCGTCGTTATGGTTTCCAGAAGCAATCAGTTAAGTAGAGTGATAATTGTGTTAAAGTTGAGAGAAAGAGGACCCATTGACCCAAAACCATTGC